AAGAGACCCTCCTAGATTTGTATTTCAACCTTCAAATTTCAGTGTTATTATAAAAGCTTTTTTTTCTGATAATAAAAAATTAAAAAACAAATCAAAAACTCGTACGCAGAAAACCAGCTTCCAGGCTACGTGTCTTCTTACCTGTTAATGGTAAAATTTCTGAATTCTCCTCTTATTCCTTTATTATGTTACTACCCACCCCCAGAATAAAACGCCGTGGTTTTCTAAAATGTCCCGATAATCTGCAGCTTTTTCATTGTCCTTCAAATGTGGGTGGTTGTCTAGTTTGCGCCAAGTCGTCAGTGACCTACTATTCTGTCTCGTGAAACATTGACGTGGGTTGGCTGTCTACTTTGGGTGAAGATTTATCCAGTTACAACCTTAGCTCTGGTATGTTGTTAACTGATGACGTAGATGAGGTTTTCTCGCGAACGCTTGAAATCGTATCTTTTCCATTTGTACAAGCGCTTAATCCAGTTGGCTCTCCAAATGTAGCCCACATTGGGCAATTTCGGCTAGACACGTGGACATGTGCCAGAAAAGTGGTATGAAAGTCTCTGAACACCCCTTGCTTGTTCAGTCAGGGATTGATCAAATTTTCTTGCTCTCCCTTGCAACTTGTTCACTTCGTTTATTTGTAATTACACAAGTTTTTCGGCTAAAAAACTGATTTCATTCTCCTTTCCCGAGGCACCTTTGAAACGTGGCTTCACTAGGCATACTCTATAATTCCAGTTTACAACGCCTCTGCAGTTTTCCAGATGGGTGTGCGATTCAATATCCATTGCACAAAACAGGAAAACTTTGACTGGAATAAAACTCAAACAGTTATTTCCTAAACCTCTGAGAGCTTTTTAGTAAACCGTATAGGTTTTCAATGATTATAAACCCTTAGAGTTTAAAACGACTTCTTCAGGTAGTCGTTCCCAAAACCTTTCGATGATTTATAATTATAAAAAACCGTTGAGGGTTTAGTAAACACCGCTAAACGTTTAGGAAAATTCCTTTGAGATTTTAACAAGAGCTAAAAAAACTTGAGAGTCCTTTCAGATAAAACAGAAAGTTTTTCTCAACTCAGTCTGACATGAGACACCATTATTGGCAAGCGTACTAAACCCTGTTAAAAAGCCCTTAAGCGTTTAAGCTCAACGATCTTTCGAAAAACCCTCTCAGGATTTTTAAAGGGTTTTAGTTTCCTTACTAAACCTTTTAAGGCTTAGTAAACGACGCTTCTTTTTAGAGTCTGCACGGCTACTTATGTTCCCATTGACTTTCGGGATTATCATACTAACGAAATATAGATCCTTTGGCTTTGAGGAAATCCAGTACCGCGTCTAAATCATGAAGAGATTCGTTAGTTCTCGGAGAGGACAGTTTGGGCTATCTATCCATGTAGAAAAACTACTATATTCCTATGTTAAATTTTCGCGTTATGAAATGGTTTTTCAAGGATCACTCAGCAAATCAGTTTTGGAAATTTCTTTTCAAAACGTTTCTACTTACTTAAAGATGTAATCAAATGTTGACTACCGAATATTGACAAGCAAAGCCCTTTATCTCTTTCTGTTCTCAAATTCTTCTCAAAATGACCGAGTGCACTGCTTTCTGAAACGAATATTTTTTCTTTTCTACAATTTGTATACTGTTGCATCTTTTCTTATGTATGAATATGGAAAATGATACAATGGGTTCGCCTCTTTCTTTTTGTTCTATTCATTTGTTTAAACTTGTTTTCCTTCTTGCTTAAATAAATAAAGCTTATAATAACGAATAGTAACATATCTGAAAAGGGAAAACCTTTCCTCAAATATTATTAAACTCAAGGCAAGATTGTCGTCTTATCCTAGAATTTGAGAACACTTGTCAATGAACTGTCCACAAGCACCTGATCAAATTAGAAAATATCCTTTCTGAAAACGCCATCAGATATGTTCTTAGTCAGTAATGTGGATTAGTAGAACAATGTCGTTTAATCACATAACGGTAGGTTGAAATCTGTGAGCATTCACTGCAAAAAATAAAAGGAACATGAATCAGAGAAAAAGCAAATCACAATATCTCACTACGTAGTGCAATAACGTGACACAAGAAAAAGGCATGATTCTTCTACGAAATTTGTATAATACTCATATTCATTATATACTTTGTATTATAGCAGTTTTACTGAAACGAACGAGATAATGTACAGTGGACTGTTTATACACGTACATTGCACAGAAAGCAGACTTATCATGTCATTATTTTCGATCCTTTTATACACCATTCGATAGAGGGCATCGAACTGATCACGAATATGTACTATTCGCGTTTTTTCGAGACTTTCTACCCGTCCTATAACTGGAAAAACTTCATAGGTGTCAAAAACCGAAAAAATGCAAGGTTTCGAAAAAAATGGACGTAGTTTCTTCGCGTTTTGATTTCAATGCTTGAAACTAAGTTTTCTAGATTCAGCATCAAAAACTGAATCTAGAACAACATATTTCAAGGGTGCAGAACGAAAAATGGATTTTTGGTAATGCCCGAAACAGGTACGCCTAAAAGTCCACACAGAGTCTGAACTCTGGTGAAGAAAAATGAGAATTACAGGCAAAATTCCAACTTTTTCGCGTCTGATTTAGAAAAAATGATTTTTCTCAGCAACTAAAGGGAATTTTAAAAAACTGCACGTTTACGTTTGATGGGGAGTATCGGACGAACCTGGTCATGTAAAAGCATTGGCTCTGGAACATCTAGAAAAGCCTGTGTTAGGTTTGCAAATTTGGTCTCGGACTTTTAGCCATACCTGTTTCGGGCATTACCGAAAATCCATTTTTCGTTCTGAACTCTTGAAATATGTTGTTCTAGATTCAGTTTTTGATGCTGAATCTAAAAAACTTAGTTTCAAGCATTGAAACCAAAACGCGAAAAAATTACGTCCATTTTTTTCGAAACCTTGCATTTTTTCGGTTTTTGACACCTATGAAGTTTTTCCAGTTTTAGGACGGGTAGAAAGTCTCGAAAAAACGCGAATAGTACATATTCGTGATCAGTTCGATGCCCTCTATCGAATGGTGTATAAAAGGATCGAAAATAAATTTCACGGTAAGTCTGCTTTCTGTGCATCTTATATATTCTGCAATTTGAATTATCTGAGCTAAATTTAAGCATATGCAGCAAAATTTTCAGGCTCATAACTACTATCCGTTCATAAAACGAATGATTCCCGGCATTTTTTGAATAACTTTTAAACGGAAAGAGCTAGAGCGATGCGGTTTTCACTATTGGATAGAGGAGCTAATGGGAAGTGAAGCTATGAAAAGCTTAGGTCTCCTGATGAGGTTTACTATGGTAAATATTTCAAAACAAAGTCCGGAAGCTTTTAGGAAAAACATGGATTTTCAATCTCAATATGTTGATTCTATCCTTTCAAGTGTGCTCCTTAAAACTATACAAGTCGTGTTTCTCTATCTCTTTTGATTCAGGAGTTACAGACATCTTCAGAGAACCTACCTATCCTTCGCAGTATTGGCCTGAGAACTACAAAAAGAGACCGACTAGAGATTATCGACATCGCTGATCATCGTGGCAATGTTTATTTTCTTCGTCAGATTACAGAACGTTCAACTGATCCAGTCTTTTAAAAATTCACTTTTTGTTCTATTGCTCTAATGATGAAATGACGCTCGAACATAGATGCAGGATTGTTTCTTCAGTTACAGGTGACTGCACTTTGTGAATATTAGGGGTGTGTTGAATACTTTATGCTATAATATCGATATTGACGTTTTTCTCTCTGCTGCTATTGTTATCCAACGATTAATAAACATTTTCTATAGTTTTACTTCTAAAGTAATTCTTTTTAGTAATAGGTAATAACTTGAACAAGAAGATTATTGCGATAACAGCAGCTTTAAACGTGTTCTTTTTATTTCAATATCAACGTCAACGTTTCGCTGTTTCAAACAGCATTTTCACGACATAGTCTGACAAGGCTCGTGTATACAATAAAAATGCAACGGCATATTTTCAACTGAAATATTTCAATGATAAGCCTGTAAACATAGCTTCTGATAATCCGACTCATCGGAAAACTGCTTAAATTAAAAGAAAGTGATTTATTGCATCTGAGGAATACGACTTCTGGAGCTCACACCCGGTCCGAATATATGGCTTACCAAAAGTGCATGAGAAAGGACTTCCTGTAGGCCCTGTCTTGTCTGCTATAGGCACTTATAATTATGGTATTGCGAAACTGTTGGTGAGTCGGCTGTCGCCTCTGCGGCAACATCATACTGTGATGCAGGATACATTCTCGTTTGTCGACGAGCTTTACTCCTTGACATTTGACACGTCGAAATTGCGGATGGTATCGTTTGACGGAATGAGCCTTTTTACCAAAGTCCCCCTTAAGTACGTCATCGATTTGATACTTAAGGAACTCTATGGACTAGAGCATCATTGGTTTATAAAGGCGTTAATGAACATGCAAAGCCTAATTTCGAGACATGTCCTTTCAGTCGATCGCAGTGCTATAATATTAATGGATTTGCTGACCATCTTAGTTATGTTTTAGATACGGTTAGAACACCAGCTAAAATAAAGTATGATGCAGTTCAAAAGGTGATTTTAATGATCACTATTAGCATTACTGGTCTGCAAAGTCTAATATGAAAGAAAACATAAACTTTTCCAAATTTGTGGTCAATGAGGGCATACGTCAGCTGTTATCCAAAGGGACCCGCCTTGTTTCTAAAATATATTTGGATTTAAAAAAACACCAAGAGAAAAAGAAGAGTACATATGAGTGTACCATTTTCACGATAGATTTGTTATATAAGCTGAAAGAAAAATATCTTTTATCGGTTCTCTATCTCTCTAAGGAAACGTGTACAAACATGATCAATGCCCACTCAGAGAATATTCTCGGTCACGGATGGTTTCATCTTAAGAGCTGCATATAAAACACACAAGTGCTCATTCTAATACATCACTAACATACTCAACTGTAAACACGAATAGCAATGTTTCGAATCGCTGGCGTTATTACATTATGTGTACTGATATCCGTGGCACATAGTGCTGCTACATCTACAGACATAAATAGTTTAATATCCTCAGGATTGAAAAACACACTTGTTGGTCTCAAAGCAACTGTGGATGGTTTAGTGTCGAGTCTTAACACAATCGTTGGTCATTTGGTGGATGCTGTTCTAGCTTTACTGGCTACTTTATTGACAGCAGTCGCACAATTATTAAGTGGTGTAGGTGGAAGTATTTTGGGTAGTGCTTCGGTAACAGTTACAGATCTGGTTAAAAAAGTTGAAACAACATTAACAGGTGTTCAAACCACACTGCAAACAGCCAAAGGACAATTGCAATTAACAATTAGTGGAAATGTTACTAAATTACAAAGCCAAATTGCCACTCTGGTGGTTGCTGTACAAGGTGGCACATTTAGCTCTGTCACAGATTTCACCAATCAAGTTGGTGTAATCCAAGCATCAGCTAGGTCAGTATATACCGCTTTGAACGGTTCTATCACTACGTTAACTGCCTCATTAAATTCATTAATTGGCAATGCAACTGGCGATGTTGATCAACAACTGGCGTCAACTCTAATATCAATGAGTGGTGTATTAAGCTCATTCACTTTAGATAGTCTACTGTATACTGTGACGCAAACAGCTATAGCTGTCGGAGGATTAATTCAACAAACAGCGGGCGTTATTGGTCTAGTGTCGGGTGTCGAACAAGCGTTGCAAGACGTTCTTTCTGCCCTTGTCCAAGCCGTAGGTACACTGGAGCAAAATATTGTTACACCATTACTCAGCACTGTTAATAGTTTATTAGCAAACTGCTCAGCATTGTAATCTGAAGACTTAAACGTTTATTTTCTCTTTGTATTATCGCTTGTGGTCTACTATATATAAAATAAGTGTCTTGCACATATTCTGAAGCCAGTCTTACCTATATAGTGTCAGATGTCATTTTACTATTTTAACGTATCTACTTGCTTTTCTGCATCAAATAAAGCAAAACAGTAACAATTTGGAATTAGCGTTTACTACGAACTCACACTTTTAATAAGTCAGTCGTATATATATATACGTCCGCAAAGTCTGTATAACACTTGACCAGGTCTGTCGGAAAAAGTTTTCTTCATAACAGAAATCTGCCTTCTGCAAAACTTGTTGAATAAGTGTCACAAGAGCATCGATGGAATTTTTCGATGACTGCCTCTTCTTGCTCAAAAAAACAGGACATTGCAGTTCCGCACGTATCGGAGCGGTTATCGTGCACAAGTCTGTAACATAAAGGGATACAGAAGATGTCCTCTTTATCTCATTTAGATACAACATGACTCGCACTTCTATGGATAAGAAGCTACTTCAACCAAGCAGATCTTTTGTTTGCCAGTTGGTGAACAACTGGCAAAAAACTGTCTCTTTATTGTTCTCCTGCGTAACTGAACTATTTCTAGTTCTTTGTACTGCTGCATCTTTACTGTCATTTTTATCGAATTCGTTAGTCAGGAATGTTTTTTCATATTCAACTTGTTTGTGTCTGAAAATTTGCCAATTTCTGTAAGAGATGACGGTAGTATTCTGGCTGGTGAATATATTTTTCTCATATTATAAGTTTCATTAACTAATTCTTTTAGAGTTCCCCATCAACTAAACAGTACATACTGATCAGGTGACGCATGTTTGGGACAGAGCTGGGCAAGTCGAGTCAAAAAATGCCTCAAGTCTAAGTCAAGTCAAGTTAAGTCAGACTTGACTTGATTTGGTCCAAAATATATTGGGATATGCCTTAACCTCACTTGACTTATGAAATTATTTTTAAGTCAAGTTATTTCTAATAAGACATTTTTGTTTAAATTAGACTTTTTCTACCATGAAAGAGAGTTTCTGAGGCTATAAAAACTCTCTCAACTAAAAGATATTAGCAAATTTTATGTTCTGTCTAATTTTAATCAGACTTGACTTGCCCTGAAGGAAAACGTTTCTAGGAGTGACTTGACTTAGGACAAAAAATTTTCAGATCTCGACTTGATTTGACCGCTTTTTAAGTGACTTGATTTGTGACTTGCAAAACTTCTCACTTGCCCAGCTCTGGTTTAGGAGCTGTTGTCTCTTCTTATTCTAAAGTGAATTATTGGCCTTCTTTTCGTCTGACTACCGTGCTTGAACTTTGTAGCTGTTTCTGCTTAATTCCTCTTAACTGTTCCATTTCTACCAGTTTAAGAGTATACTTATGAGATAGTTTTCTGTTTAATTTTAAAAAATTAGAACCGGGTGATTTTCGTAAAATACAATTCGACAATTTAGAATTTTATATGACAATGGAAATATTGAAAAAGCTCCATTGTATTTTGAAGAAGAGATGTTAGAAGATAGATTGTAGCGAAATATGTTTGGTATTTAGTGTATGTATGAAACTTTTTATAATTGTTTAGGCTGTTGATCAGGCGACGCGTGTTTTGAAGCCGTATTTTGTTCTTATTCTAAATCAGTTGTTCTCCAGTTAGCGTTCTCTTGCTAAGGGAGACAGATATGTCCGGTTTTTAGTTTCTGAAAGTAGACACCTGCGAAAATTGCTCTATGTAAAATCCATCGTCAAACCACCAACCGCAAACGCTGTACTTTATGAATCTTTCTTGGAGAGATCGTCAAATTTTAGCGACCCAGGGTGATCTGCTATCTTTATAAGCACATGAGCTAGAGTGACATGTGATTTACATCTTTCACAAATCTCGGCATGCAATATATTATGGATCGGCATAATCAAGGCGAAATAAAAATTGATTCAATTTCTGATCTCGGCTAAACGACTAGCACGCAACCACCTGTTCAGGTTTCACATCTCTAGGTCCATGAGTTAACGATCATTCTTATTCCCTTGGCTTTGGTCCAGGGTATTACAAAATGGTTGTCTGCCTGTGTCTGTGGACAAAATACGGAAAAACCGCTGTTAGATATTCCACGGATAAGCCAATCACAACCACAAGAGAGAAAAATAGAAAATTCTTTTTTAACCATAACCACCACGAAAGAGAAAATATTTAAAGAAATAGAGGAAATATCTACCGATGTATATGAATTCTTGACATAAGATCTTGCAAGATCTTGTCACCTCCAATAATCAGATCTTAGAAGATCTTACGACAAAAAGTTACACGACTGCATAAGATCTTACATTATCTTATAACAAGATGTTGTACGATCATATCGTAAGATCTTATTACAAGATTTCAGAAGATAATATCGGATCTTGCAAGGTCTTACAAGTCGTGGTTCATCTGGGATATGGCGCTTTTTCCTTGGCATCAGAGAACGTCACAATACTTCTCACCCATCCTGGCTGCGAGCTCCGACCGAAGGGAGGCGTGAGCATTGTCTTTGATTTAGAAATATGTTGGAAACTTGAGGACCTTTGGAGGGTGCCGAGAAAGAATTTTAGATTTATAATAAATTACGAAGCTTACGCGTGAGTGTTGTCTTGGATTCAAAATCATGGATATAAGTTCTTAAAATCAGGGGACCGAGCGAGTGCATACGAACGTTATCTTGTTAATCTAAACTATTTTATTTGATGACCATTTTTCTGTTGGCTTTAGTCTAAGGTCTTACAAAATAGTTGTCTGTCTGTGTCTGTGTCTGTGCGGAAAATGCGGAAAAATGGCTGCCAGATATTCCATGGAATCAGAAGAGAGAAAGGTAGAAAATTATTTTTTACACACGAGAGAAAATATTCAAAGAGGTGACTGAAAAAATAATTACTGATGCAGAGAGAGAAAAAAACTAAGCAAACGTTTCTGTAGTCAGGAGACAGATGTCGCCAGCACTCAGTTCCTTTTGATAACACAAAAGAAAATCATCTACAGATAATAAAAACCGGCAGAATATAGATAGTCTATCATGGCGAATCGATTAGATATACTTCCAACGTCCTTTCGGATCTTCAGCGGACCAGACAACGTTTTAGCTTTATATTCGGGTACACCCATTCAGGTCTGCTCAGTTTATATGGACATAGCAGCCGCAAAATTTTGAACACTCCTGTTTATAGAGCATAAAAAGTTACATAGAATCCCATATCTGCTAGCAAGAAAGTTATATTTTACATGCCTGTTTAGGAATGCCACATGTTGACCTTTCTACAATCAAGCAACTTTGACCTTGTTTTTCTCTACAGTCCTAGAGTTAACATCAACGTTTAATATAACTTACCATACAAAGGAGCAACCCGAGTAGTATAAGTGCAGATACTCAAAACGTAGCCTACTACATTTAAAAGCGCAGGCCAACTGTCACAAAAAGGCCGAAAATGAAAAAAGGACACTTAGTATTTCACCTGAAGGTAAAATAAAACAAAATGTTCTTGCACTATAGATAAAAGTGAAGCTAAAGAGCTGCTTAATCCTATGAAAAAAGGATAAGGTGGATATCTATCTTTCGCTTTGAGTACGAAGCCTATCTTCGAAGAATTGTGACTAGCGAAATGAGCTCTATCCAGATAAGGGAACACAGAGCTGAATTTACTACCTGACTGTCTATTCATACTGATTTTTCTTTTCCACATAGAGATTATAACAGCACGAAATCATTGTCTGCTCGACCAACGCATTAAAATTTGATTGCACTATGTTCTCGAAGAAAAGTCTGAGTAAAACATCGTGGAATCAATCGTAGATAACAAAACGGTGACTGGAAATGTTGAACTAGTAACATTATCGGACACCATCAAGATGACCATCCGGACGGGTGGTCAAAGAGGTCCAAAAAACAACAATGATCGGATGCCATTGCCCTGCGCAAAGTGGCACTTTGCAGACCTCAGTCATACCTGCAGACGGAGCGTCGTGTTTAGCTACCGGCCATGTTGTTTAAGATGGGCATCTGCACGGTCATCTTGATGGTGTCCGATAATATTGATTTGAGATAATTAAACGCGGCAGGTGCGTAGTCACAACACTAGTCCAGACAGGCGTCCTCACCCGTCTTTTTCTGCGGCGTCCAGACGCTGTCATCCCGTCCAAAAGTGGTACTTTGCCCACACCTTTTTTAACTTGGTCACCGGTCCGAGGTCTAAACCGGACCCAACGTTTTAGCCGTCTTTTGTTTACCTCGGACATTGCTTGGATAAGCCAATCACAAAAAAGAAAGTAGAAAATTATTTTTTACACTACAGAGAACGTGTTCAACCAGATGACTGAGATAAGATTTACTGCGAATACCGACCGATGACTTCGATTCACAGTCATGGAAGGTCGTTCGAAAATATATTTTTTTAAAATGAAGAAGCCGAGTGGGCGCAGACGAGTGTTACCTTGTGTGTTATACAAGAAGGAAATTAGGAATATTTGATAGTGGTATGTGGACTGAGGCCGAGCGCATCGACTGTTGTTGCATTGACGTAACAAAAAGGACGAAATTGGCTGATTGTATATCCGAAATTAGAGAGAAACTTAGATATGATTTCACTTTCCATTTTCATTTTTTTCGAGCCTACTCTAATTATGAAGGTATTTCCAAATTTGCTTTTCAGATGTCGTCAGGTTACGAAGATATACACGTGTGCCAAAAATACAAATAGTTAATATTAGTACGTAGCCACACGACGATGACTCATACAATCAAAAGCCAGTTGGCTATTCACCAATGCACTTGAAGTTAAAAAAAGAGACTGATTTTTGCGGAACTTTTTCTAGTTACATATTATACCTCATATCGACAGCTTTTAGAATATATATTCGGAATTCTCTTACCAGAAGTCGTTACTGAGATATCGATGTTTTTCAAAAAATTGATCTTACACAAGTAAACGAGATTAAGGAGCCATTTTCACAACCCGTAGACCATTCCAT